CAAGCAGAATTTTCCAAACCACTAATGCAGTTATTTTCAATAGTTTCCGTTTTTTAAGCAGGAAACCCTACCTTCAAAACCCTTATATATTAGTTCAATATAAAACAAATAAAAAGTAGAGCTGCTATAGCTGGAAACAGAGAAGGGCACTGAAAGCTCTCTACTTCTCTTGTGTTCACCATGATATTATTACCTAGCATGGAGCTACACTGAGTATAAGTAGTTTAGCATCTCAGCAAGCTCCCTTGATGAGGCATGTCTGCAAAAATCCTAGCGTTCCAAGAGATGGATTTTTCCCAATTTAATTCTAATAATCTCAATTTGAGGGAAAACTTTGATTTATACTTCTGCCTTAGTTTCTGCACATATAAAAGAAAACTTATGCCCAGACAATGTGGCTCAGTGGTTCAGCGTCGGTTCACTGTTGATCTATGAGCTAGATAGAAGATCATGGTTCGATTCCCGGTCAGGCACATGCCTGAGTTGCGTGCTCAATCCCCAGTAGGGGGTGTACATGAGGGAGCTGATCAATGATTCTCTCTCATCACTGATGTTTCTATCTCTGTATCCCTCACCCTTCTCCGAAATCAATAAAAATAAAATATATATATATATATATATTTTTTTAAAGAGAACATAGTATTTAGACCTTGAAAACAGACTATGAGCCATACTAACAGTCACAAAAATTTTAAGTTATATAAAGTATAGTTTTAGTAAATTTCTAAGACAGCTAAAAATTCATTTAGAAAATAAAAATTCTAAGAATTCTTTTTAAATGTATTTTTATGTGCCCTGACCTGCAATCAACCAGGATCTCCTGGTCCATAAATCAAGGCTCAACCACTGGTCCATGCTGGCCAGGCAAATTCTCAGAATTTTGAGAACAGAACACAGTCATGTTAGATTGGTATTTAATTTTTTTTAAATGGGCAAATGACTTAAATAGACACTTTTCAAAAGTTACATACTGAAGGCCCAGAGACATATGAAAACATGCTCAAAGTCACTAATCATCCAAGAGATGCAATCAAAACAACAATGAGATATCATCTCACACCTGCCAGGATGGCTATCGTCAACAAATCAACAAATGGCAAGTGTTGGCGAGGATGTGGAGAAAAAGGAACCCTTGTGCACTGCGGTGGAAATGCAGACTGGTACAGCCACTGTGGAAAACAGTATGGGGTTTCCTCAAAAAATTAAAAATGGAACTGTCATTTGACCCTAGGAATATATCCAAGAAACCAGAAACACCAAACAGAAAGGACATATGCACCCCTATGTTCATAGTAGCACAATTTACAATAGCTAGGATTTGGAAACAGCCTAGGTGCCCGTCAGCAGATGATTGGATTAAAAAACTGTGGTACATCTACACAAGGGAATGCTACACTGATGTAAAAAAGAAAGAACTCAACATTCGCAACAGAATGGATGGGCCTGGAGAACATTATGCTAAACAAAATAAACCAGTTAGAGAAAGATCAATATCACATGATCTCACTCATTTGTGAAATATAATGAACAACATAAACTTATAAACAAAATAAATACAGAGACAGAGAAGCATCAAACAGACTGCCAAACTTCAATGGGAAGGTGGCAGGGAGGTGGTAAGAGATCAACCAAAGGACCGAAACCGGTTTGGCTCAGTGGATAGAGCATCGGCTTGCGGACTGAAAGGTCCCAGGTTCGATTCCGATCAAGGGCATGTACCTTGGTTGCAGGCACATCCCTAGTAGGGGGTAAGCAAGAGGCAGCTGGTTGATGATTCTCTCTCATCAATGTTTCTAACTCTGTATCCCTCTCTGTAAAAAAAAATCAATAAAATATATATATTAAAAAAAATGACTTGTATAGATGCATATAAGCATAACCAATGAACACAAACACTAGGAGGGTGACGGCTTGTGCTGGAGGTTGGGGGTGGTCGGGGAAAAATGGGGGAGAATGAGACATATGTAATACTATATGTAATACTTTAAACAATAAAGAATTTAAAAATAAAATTTAAAAATATCCCAGGAAAATATAATAAATGTTTCCACTGCTATAGTATTCCTCTGGGTAACAAAAGCCAAGAGGTCTCTGCTTGTTTTAGCATTGGTAGAAGAATCCCCTTTCATCGTGTTCAAAATACTCAATGAAAGTGGAAATTCAAAAACATAAATCATTAATTATAATAATTTTCATGTATAATATACTCCCTGTACCACAGATCTGTAGGCTTTATATACATTATCTCATTTGTTGGCTTATTGTGAAGATCAAGACAGAGTTAGCACTAGTTTTTATATTAGAGAACTTAGCTGAGAACAAGAATATAACTTCCTCTAAGTTAAAAGAGAGGGTGTGTCAGAAAGCAGATCAAGGAGACATCAGAATAGTAATAGTATCATTGGTCTCATCACACCACCATGGTTCTAGACTGGAACACATATACATTTAGCAAAATAAAAGCGAAGACGTAAATGGACTCTAACCCAGTACTGTCCAATACAGCAGCCACTAGACTCATGTAGTAATTTTTTTCCCAATTAGCAATAATTGCATCTCGGATAAACCTCATTAGCTACCATACTGCCACTGCACATGTGGTGGTTTAAATAAAATAAAATAAAAAATTTAGTGCCTGTTCACTCCCGCCACATTTCAATGCTCATTAGCTATATGTGGCTTATTGGACAACATTATAAAAAATATTTCCATAAGTGCACAAAGTTCTATTCAACAGCATTCCTCTAACAGAAATCCCTTGTATTCAAAACAGCCGGGACCGGTTTGGCTCAATGGATAGAGCGTCGGCTTAGGGACTGAAGGGTCCCGGGTTCGATTCCGGTCAAGGGCATGTGCCTTGGTTGCGGGCATATCCCCAGTAGGGGGTGTGCAAGAGGCAGCTGATCAATGACTCTCTCTCATCGATGTTTCTAACTCTCTATCTCTCTCCCTTCCTTTCTGTATAAAATCAATAAAATATATTTAAAAAAGAAAAAACAGCAGTAGACACACAACTGTTTGGTGAGTGAATGAATGATAAAAGACAAATAGGCTTCATTAGGCCTTAATGAGCTACCCTCAGGAAAATAAGCTAATTATAATAACTAACACTTACTAGGCACTTAACACATGCCAGGTATTATATGTGCTAATTCAATCAATGCTTGAAAACTCTATGAGGTATTTACTGTCATAACCCTTATTTTACAGAGAGAAAAAACAAGAATCCAAAAGGTTGAGTAATTTTTCCCAAATCCAGGCAGTTTGATCCAGAATCTAAAGCCTTCATTTCTTTTTAACTTTTTTTTTTAATTTCCTACTCGAGGATGCTTAGTTTTTTTGAGGGAGAGGGAGAGGAAAAGGGAGAAGAAAAGGGAGAGGAAAAGGGATAAAACCCACAACCTGGGCATATGCCTTAACAAAGAATTGAACCCAAGACCCTTTTGGTGCACTGGTTGATGCTCAAACCAAGCCACACTAGCTAGGGCTCATTATACTATACTATACTTCCATTGTCCGTGATGATCATGACGACCAAAAAACCAGTCACCATGAGGTGCATTGAGCACCTCTCAGTCCCTGCCCCCTGGCCTGTGAGCAGGGTCTTTCCTGCCACCCACCCCAATTCCCCTTGTTCATCATTGCTGATCCGTCAGAGTCTGCAGACTGGGGGCAGGGACCAGGAGGTCAGCTGTTCAGCCCGCTCACCAGTCCCCAATCCTGCCCCGTTACTACTCAATGTTAAATCAATATTTATTTTTAAATCTTTATTGATTTCAGAAAGGAAGGGAGAGGGAGAGAGAGAAACATCAATGATGAGAGAGAATCACTGATCAGCGGGATCGAGCCTGCAACCCAGGCATGTGGCCTTGACTGGAATCGAACCCATGACTCCTTAGTCTGCAGGCCAATACTCTACCCTCTGATCCAAACTGGCTAATTTGGAAATATACTCACCTCACTAAAAAAAAGTCAAGATAATCAAAGTAAGGAAGATTCAGATAGTATTATCAAAAAGTGATAATTATATAACCCTATTTTTAAAAATTCTCCTTTAAGCCGAACTGGTTTGGCTCAGTGGTAGAACGTTGGTCTGCGGACTGAAAGGTCCCAGGTTCGATTCCAGTCAAGGGCATGTACATTGGTTGCGGGCACATCCCCAGTAGGGGGTGTGCAAGAGGCAGCTGGTCGATGTTTTTTTCTCATCAATGTTTATAGCTCTCTATCCCTCTCTCCTCCTCTCTGTAAAAAATCAATAAAAAAATATATATATATTTTTAAAATAGTTATTGTAAAAATTCTCCTTTAAAAAGGTAAACTATATCACCTCAAGTGAATGCTAAAAGTAAGGGTATACAGTCTGGGGCATAAATTCATTGTCATTTTCATTCACTTATTTAATTACAATTCCTTATAAAGAAATTAAGAAAACTAAATAACTGTATAAAGACTAAAATCTTTTTTTCTGTGATGTCCGAGTTGGTTTAGCTCAGTGGATAGAGCATCGACCTGCAGACTAAAGGGTCCTGGGATCGATTCCGGTCAAGGGCACATGCCTGGATTGCGGGCTTGATCCCCAGTAGGAGGTATGCAGGAGACAGCCAATCAATGATTCAATCTCATCACTGATGTTTCTCTCTCTCTCTCCCTCTCCCTTACTCTATGAAATCAATAAAAATATATTTTAAAATAATTATAATAAAAAAACAAAATCACTTTTTCTTTGATCAAAGTAAGAAAAACTGTTCTAATGAGCTGCTACTAAGAGTAAAACAATTTGAGAGACAGATAAAGTTGCTTTAGTAAATGCAGTTAACTACCAGAAAATTAAGTACCAGAAAAAGACCTACACAGCAGCTAAACCTCAGCAAGACAGACTCAGCAAGAAATCTTCATTCCTGTGGGGTTTTTTTTTTTAGCTGTTAATGCTATTCTAACAAGCTTCCAATAATGTTCTGACTTTTTCACTGACCCCTAGGAAGGAAAAAAAAAGCCATTACCTAAGGATGTTGGGGTGGGAGAGTCTATTCATAAGCTGGATCTCCTTCAGCATGTTTGCCCGGTTACTACTCAATGTGTTCATCTTAAGAGCCATCACCTGACCAGAAGCTCGGTGTCGCACCTGGAAAATAAAATAGAACAAGAAAGAGGCTCAAGGACAGCAGAAATATATGAGGTCAAAATCTCCACATTGTGTTTTACTTTAGATAAAATAGACTTACTAGGGGATATTTTTCTGTAAACTCTATGATTATATTAGGGTCTCATGTCCATTGATGAAGATGGAATTTATTCCATCCAAGACCAAAATTATTCCACAGAAATTACTTGAAACAACAATAGCCCAGACGTTTAGCATATCTATTATTATAGGACAGACATCACAGCTTATGGTAGAATTCAAAGGAACAAGAGGGCAGGGAGAAACCAAGATGGCGGCATAGGTAACGGCCTAACTGCAGCCTTCACAACAATTTAAAAAAATACAACTAAAATATAAAGTGGACATTATCCAGAACTACAGGAAAGTTGACTGACTGGAAATTCTACAGCGAGAAGGAAAGAGAAAACCAGAAGGAAAATCAGAGGAGCTGTAAAAGCCTAAGGTACGGAGACACGTTGTGTGCGTGGAGAGGACAGAGCCTGAGAGGGGCGGCTGAGTGCCTGGCTGGCGTTCCCTAGCGCAGTGTTTTTCAACCTTTTTTGGGCAAAGGCACACTTGTTTCATGAAAAAAATCATGAGGCACACCACCATTAGAAAATGTTAAAAAATTTAACTCTGTGCCTATATTGACTATATATAAAGTAATTCTCTTGAATAGGAATCAAATAAACACAAAGGAAGTATTTTATAATTACTTTATTATGAAATATTAAGTAAACAAAATAGTGAAAAATTATAAAATTCTTGTCTTGTCTGCACCTACGGCACACCAGGCAACATCTCGTGGCACACTAGTGTGCCGCGGAACAGCGGTTGAAAAACGCTGCCCTAGCGGGAAGGAGATAAAAGCTCCGGACTGAGGGAATCTGGGCTGTAAGGCCGAAGCTCAGGGGAACGGCGAAACGCAGAGCCCCCGAGTCGCGCTCATTTCGCACAGAGGACAGACTGTTGATTGAGCGGCTGGTAGCGGGAAGGAAACATAAGCTCCAGACTGCCAACTGCACTGAACCCCAGTTGCGGGCTCGTTGGGGGAGAGACTAGATTGTCTGGTAGCAGGCGAAACTCTAGGGCATCTTTCTCTCAGAGGTGCTTGCAGATAGTACCAAAGGACACTGAGGAACACTGAGACTCAGGAACCTCATAGGGTGGGGCTAACCGGAAGCCAAGGCTGTAGGCTCCACCCTGAAACTCCGCCTCATCCAAGCTGAGCACAGAGGCTCTTGCAGTTTTCCAAGTCTAGTCGAATAAGGCTGTCTCCTGGCATAGATACAGCTGATCCTCCCACCCTACCAACTCAGGGAAGCAGCAAAAATGCCAAGACAAGGAAACAGATCACAACAAAAGAAATGGAGGACAAAAAGCGACTGGATATAGAGTTCAAAACCACGCTTATAAGGATTTTCAAGAATTTCCTAGAAAAGGCAGATAAAATAAACAAGACCTATAAAAATATGAAAAGGGATCAACTAGAAATAATAAAGGATCAACTAGAAATAAAGAATACATTGTCTGAAATAAAAAATATTATACAGAGTCCTAAAAACAGAATGGAAGATTGCAAGAATCATGTCAAAGATTTGGAACATAAAGAGCCAGAGGACACTCCTCCACAGAAGCAAGAAGACAAGAGAATCCAGAAAGTTGAAGATAGTGTAAGAAACCTCTGGGACAACTTCAAGCGAACCAACATCAGAATTATGGGGGTCCCAGAAGATGACAGAGCAAGATACCGAAAACATATTGAAAGAAATAGTGACAGAAAATTCCCCCACCTGGTGAAAGAAATAGACTTACAAGTCCAAGAAGCACACAGAACCCCAAACAAAAGGAATCCAAAGAGGACCACACCAAGACACATCATAATTAAAATTCCAAGAGCAAAAGACAAAGAGAGAATATTAAAAGCAGCAAGAGCAAAGCAGGTAGTTACCTATAAAGGAGCACCCATACGAATGTCAGCTGATTTCTCAACAAACGGGAATGGCAAGAAATATTCAAGGTGATGAATAACAAGAACCTACAGCCAAAAATACTCTACCCAGCAAAGCTATCACTCAGGATTGAAGGCCAGATAAAGAGCTTCACAAATAAAAAAAAAGCTAAAGGAGTTCATCACCGCCAAACCAGAATTACAATATATGAATTGCTGAAGGGGTTCTTTAGGAAGAGGAAGAAAATAAAGATAAAAACTATGAACAACAGATATGTAACTAGTGAATCTAAAAACCAAGGGAATTAAAAAACCTGACGAACAATATTAACTTCTGAATATAATAGAATCAGAGGTACGGAAGGGGAGTGGACTGACAATTCTCGGGGAAAATTGTCAGGAGTGGGGGGTGCGGGAAGAGACTGAACATAAACTGTGCACCTATGGATGAGGACAGTGGGGGTGGGGAAAGGGCAGAGGGTGGGGTGGGAACCTGGTGGAAGGGGGGGAAATGAGGAACTTTTGTAATAATATTAACAATAAAGATTTATTTAAAAAAAATAAAAAAAATAAAAATAAAATTTAAAACACACAAAGGAACAAGAGGGGGAGTAGGAAGGAAAATACTAAGAACCATAAGAACCCTAATCAGAAAAACTTAGAATACTGGCTGTCTCTTCTCTCTTCTAGATCACTTAGTAAGATTTGGAACTCAACTCTTTTCCTAGTGCATCAATGATTCTGTTGTCATGTCCCTCGTGATTGATAAAAGAGAACTAGCCTTCCTTTTCAGATCCTGCACGGATAAGTTAAATGAGACATTCATATACAAAGAACACACTGACAGTATTTTTCCAACTCTATTTACAGAAGACATCTGTGTTTTGATAAGAGTTCTCCATTCTGAAAGTCACTCTTCTTCCCCCAACCCCCTATCATCTGAAAACTAACACTGAATTTTTAACAAAATGTCTGCTTTTAAGAAAGTCTAATATTAAAACAATGTGTGAAATTCAGGGATAAACAACCTGTATTTCAAACTAATTAGAAAGAACCCTACTTCCTTAAACAAGTGGACAAGATGATGAACATGTTCATAACTCATTGTATTTTGTCTTTCATCTGCATCAAATATTCTTCTCCTTTCTTCTAGCTCCTCAAATTTTATTTATCTTTCAAGCTATATGCAATATCCCATCCTTGCGGAAGCCTTCCTTTACTCTCTGGAAATTATTTATACTACCTCAGGACAACATTCATAACACCAGTATTCCATTCATCATACAGTTTTGTCTATAAATTTGCATATCTCCCACTAGGCTATAAAGCATCTTGAGACTGGGAAGTATATTATATTCATTCTTGTCTCACAGTGCCTAGAAGGCCTGTCACATCATAAGGGCATAGTGAAAACAACAGCAACAACAGTTAAATTATACTTCTAATATAATTTCTAAGGACCAATAAATCATTTATTTATCCATTTATTTATTTGGGGTGGGTGGTGGGGCAGAATGCTTTTCTTTCTTTTTCTTTTTTGGTGGCAAAGGTTGGGGGGAGAATGGAAACAGAAAAGTAGTATACGTTTTGGTCAAATTTTTCTCAATTTTATCATCTAGAAAATGACAAGCAATAAACTATATGGCTAGTCAGATAAGAAAGAGAATAAAGCCTAAACAGGTTTGGTTCAGTGGATAGAGCGTCAGCCTGTGGACCAAGAGGTTCCAGATTTGATTCCGGTAAAGGGCATGTACCTTGGTTGCGGGCACATCCCCTGTAGGGAGTGTGCAGGAGGCAGCTGATCAATTTTTCTCTCTCATCAATGTTTCTAACTCTCTACCCCTCTCTCTTCCTCTCTGTAAAAATTCAATAAAATATATTCAAAATAAATAAATAAATAATAAAAATAAACGTTGAACTCTTGCTAGTTTGGCTCAGAGTAGAATAAGAGTTATATTTTAAAAAAATTGTCATTGCTTTTCATGAAGATGGTACCAAAAGCAACAGAAGTCCCTGCCCCTCCAAAGCAGAAGCCAAAGCAAAGGCTTTGAAGGTCAAGAAAGCAGGACTGGAAGGAGTCCATAGCCACAACAAAAAGATATGCATATCATCCACCTTCCCACAGCCCAAGACACAGCAGCTCTGAACGCAGCGCAAAAACCCTTTGAAGAGCATCCCCAGGTGAAAGCACGCTGGAACACTGTGACTCCTAACTACTGAGTCAGCCATGAAGAAGACAGAAAACAACACATTTGTTCTGTTCATTTGTGGATGTCAAGGCCAACAAGCACAAGATCAAACAAGTTTTGACAAAGCACTAAGAAAATGATGTTGCCAAGGTCAAAACCTGATCAGGCCTGAGGGAGAAAAGAAGGAACATATTCAACTAACTTGTGACTATGACGCTTTAAATGTTGTCTACAAAGCTGGGGTCACCTAAACTGAGCCCAGCTGGCTAATTCTAAATATAAAGATGTTTTCACCATAAAAAATGGTTATAATAGCAATAATATAGGTAACATTTATAGCACTAGCTACATACTAGGTTCTGCTGTGTAATTGTTTTATTTATATTAATTCATTGAATCCTCAAAATAATTCTATGAGGTAGGTAGGTATTAATATCCTCTATTTTACAGCTTAAATCACCCTGCTCAGAGAGATAGCAGAAATCCAATTAATGCCATTTGCCAACCACACCCAAGGACAGATAAAGTTTAGGGAATAAATCTCATTTTGGCACATTAACATAAATCTAATGAATATTCTATTCAGGTCTTCCCCTAAAACCTCCCTTAACCCTTTCTTCCCACCCTTAAAAAACCCGCACAATGCAAGTCCCATCTAGCCGAAACCGGTTTGGCTCAGTGGATAGAGCATCGGCCTGCGGACTGGAAGGTCCCGGGTTCGATTCCGGTGAAGGGCATGTACCTTGGTTGCGGGCACATCCCCAGTAGGGGGTGTGCAGGAGGCAGCGGATCGATGATTCTCTCTCATCGATGTTTCTAACTCTCTATCCCTCTCTCTT